CAACAGACTTCTTCAGTCTGAGGTGCTGTATTCAGCTCAGTTTTATAAATGGCACCTTTTCATACTGGATCAACCAGTTTGTTGTTGTTCTAAGACTGAGCTGAATACAGCTCCTTAGACTGAAGAAGTGTTTCGGATGAAAGACAAAACGTTTCTACAGGTTTTTTTGTTTTTTTTGAACCCGTCCAAAGGAGCAGACTTAACTTTTTTAGATTTTCTACGTGGATTATTGAGGATGCATCAGGAAACTGTGTCATCAGCATAGAAATGTATGGATGCATTAGGGATGTTTTTACCTACATTATGTATATAGATTGTAAAGAGGGTGGGTCCTAAGACTGAGCCTTGTGGTACACCATTGTTGACTGTTAAATAACTGGAGGAAGTACCATTATGTTGAACACATTGCCTCCGGTCTGAGAGATAGTTAGAGAACCAACCAATGGTGTGTTCTGAGAAACCAATTTCTGAGAGTTTATGACACAAGATGTTCTGATCCACAGAGTCAGAATCTTTAGACAGGTCTAAGAAAAGTGCAGCACAATAATCCTTAGCATCCAGTGCTTCAACAACGTCATTAAGAACCTTCAGTGAAGCAGTGGTTGTGCTGTGTTGTTTCCTGAAACCAGATTGATGGAGAGGTAAGATGTTGAGTCCAGGTCATTTTTGATTTGAGAGTTTATCAGTTTTTCTAGAACCTTGGCTAAAATGCAGTTTAGAGATTGGTCCATAGTTGTTCAGTGAGGGGGGGTCACCTCCCTTCAGCAAAGGAAGAACAAAGGCTGTTTTCCAAGTGTCTGGAATGGAGTTTTGTCTTATGGAGAGATTGAAGATGTGGGTCACAGGGACTGTGATGATATGAGCAGCCAGCCTTAAGAAATAAGGTGGAAGTTCATCTGGACCTGCAGATTTTTTAGGATCAAGATCTTTTAACAGTTTATTGACCTCACTGACTGAGAACGGAGAAAAAGAGAAGCTGTGATTAACTGAGGATTGACTTGTAGGAGGGATTTGATTTGTAGAA